GACATTATTGGCACTGTATGTTGCTTCACGTCCATTACTTTGAATAAGACATTGTCTAGCACTTTACCAGCTTTTGTTTGAATAGACGCCACAAAATGTCCCTTTACTTTAAGAGGGTCTTCACCTCCATTGTAAAATACTGAACGGTCTTCTTTCTTCTGGCTTGTTCAAACAATACCTTTTCTCTTCAAATCTTCCCAAGTTTTGACCGGAATGCAATTTGTTTTCTTGCTCCCGGATCTACCAACATGTCTAAGTCAACACCTCCTACTTTCACTGTCACTAGCTCGTCTTCCTCTTCCATGCTGGCCACCAAAAAAGGTAGTTATACTCGCCCCCTTTCCTCCTCATCATCAGTGTCTTCCGAGCTGGAGCCTTCAGAATCCTCTTGCAAGTGTTGCACTCTTTCCTTCTTTTCCCCTTTCTTCTTCTTCTTTTTCTCCTTCTCATCTTTATTAGCATTTCTACAGACTGTAGCCATATGATTCCGTACCCCACAGGATTCGCAAGTTTTGCCCCAAGCTGGACAAGATCTATCTTTGGCATAGTGCTCTTTTTCTCCACAACAGTAGCATGAATTACCTTTATTGTTTGGTTGCTTCTTCTAAGATGACACTTAAAGTCTATTAACTGCCTCTGTAGCACTTGCCAAAGCAGCCTGTTCTTGCTGCACCTTCTGGTGCAGTCGCACTTCCTGCTGTATATCGACTAGAGTCAATTGGCGTTGCAGCGCCAATTTATAACAGCCTTTTCTAACTTCCGCCCATGGCACAGCTTTCAACAGTTGATCTCTAATTTCACGGTCAACATTGTTGAAGTTACACCTTGCAGCCTGCTGTCGAAGTCTTAATACAAAGGCATCTACAGGCTCGTTGGGTATCACTGTCTTTTCCCGAAACACATCTGTTTCATATGGCTCATTTGATCTTGGCAGAAAAACCGTTAACACTGCGTGTTAACAAATAGACGATCCGAATAAAACAAAATCTAATACAAAATTATTTTTACTAATTAAATACGTTATTGCTTTCTAGAACAAAAGTAGTTACGACTCTTTGTTCTGAGATTCACGGCCCTGTGCGTTGTTGTCGTCCGTCTTTGCTGACACTGACCCTTACAAAACCCCCCCC